TAGCGACAAGGTATAGATAGGGCCTCTGGCGCAAGTCTTCTTAGTGCTTGGGGGGGGGGGTCAACAGTGGGAGGGCTTCTAATGTCCTGGCCCCACTGGTGGACCTCCTGATGGCACTGGTATTTCTGGCCACTGTGTGACACAGAGTGTTGGACTGGATGGGCCTTTGGCCTGATCCAACATTGGCGTCTCTTATGTTCTTATGTACAATGCTGTGCCATCTCTTTGGACAGCGTTCATCATTTTTATGGTGGAACTTTCTCCTCATGCGGCTCTGCCCCAAACACTGGGTCCAAAAGCCACTGGGTGATTCTCTGCTGCTCAAAGGAATGCTTGTTTTAGCTCCAGTATGACCCACATGTGATGCCCATTGTTAAGCCCGGAGGCCGCACCTGGGCCTGTGCTGGACATACGGAGAGCCAGCGCCAAACCCGGACCCACCACGACGGAGCTAGTGCCCTTGTGCCCTTCCCTTCTGCTGCTCTTGAGCTGCTTTGACAATTGGATGGAAGCATCAGCCCCAGTAGCTCCTGGGGCAGTACAAGGAGACAGCATTCCTGACAAATGGATAAACAACCCAACGGCCAGATTAAACGTTCCATTGGCCAGATGTGGCTGGGGGGCATGATTTGCACACAGGGTTAATTTGAGATGTCCCGATGTTAGCCATTAAAAATCCCCAGTCAACCCAAATGATGTGCCATGATGCTCAGTGTTACTCCATTGGATCCAGATCCCCTCTTTTCAGATTTCCAGCCTGGTTACTGTGCTGCCCCGGGGGGGGGGGGGGGGGGGGAGGGCTCTATGCAAGGAAGCCTGCTTCCACACGCCCATCTCTCTTGTTGGGTCAATCGAACTCACAGTTAACATTCTGACCTTTACTAGTAATTAGCATCAGAGAGCATCACACATGATTTTCTTTTCTACGTCTATTCTGAGAAGCATGAGCCCAGCGCTGCAGAAGAATTTCTGACCAAAGTGGCTTCTGAAAGAGGGATGAGGATAATGACCTGCACATCTCCCTGGTGGGATGCAGCTGATCAAACGCATGTTAGGAGTTGGTGGGAAAAGACAGAGGCAGCCCTGAAAAGGAGGAGGCCCCACGTGGAGCAAAGTGCCGGCAGGAGGGGCAGCAACCATGCGAGTGGGTCAACATTTCCCTTGCCACGCCGGCAGGGGATGTGTGGCTAGGATTAGGGCTGCAAGGTAAACTTTAGCTGAGGGGAAGTAATCAATTTAAATTGCCCAAAAAGGCATCCTCAGCTAATTAGTAACACTTTTTAAAAAAATGTTCATTGTTTTTTAACATAAAGATTGCTAAAAACTGTGTATGGTAATGCTCTAAAAGGGTTGACTGGTATATTTTACAGATTTCTAAGCTGAGACTAGAGAGGAGCCTGTCAGTTCTTAGAGAAAAATGGGATGGAGATCTGAGGGTAGTTATACCAGCTGAACACTGGAAATGGATTTGGTCTAAAAACCTTCTCCAGTTTATTTCCAGTCGATCGAAAGAAGAGCTATAATCTCAGTTCCAGTGGTACCCAACACCATCTAACCGAGGGGGTGTATATAATCTGGATGGATGTTAGGGCTGTCTGAGCTCTGGAACAGACTTCCTATATATGTTTTGGCAATAGAAAAATATTGGAAAGAGGTTTTGACACTGATCATGGAAATGGCAGGATGTACTCTTTTGATGAATCCAAAGGTGGTTATGCTGGAGTGACTTAAAAAAAACCCAGAATCCATCTGGAAGATTCAGAAATTATAAAATTTCATTGCAGCAGCCCATATAAGTGTACTTATGGGGGGAGGAATACATAAATGCTTTAGGGGGAAACAGACGGGTACAGGAGGATTTCAGTGACCGCATTAATGTCAAAAGGTTAGTAGTACCTCCTCTTCAATAATGGGCAATGTTTGTAATGCACAGGAATTACAGATATCTTGACAATGTACAACTGTATTTTTTACCGTGTTGTAAATTGGTGGTTCTTTGTTCGATTTTATTCTTGTGTGCGTTTATGTGTATAAACGTGGAAGTATGATAATGACCACATTAAAAAGTGCTGCCGGCTGGTGTCCCCTTGGGAGAGGCAGCCCCCCCCCCCGCACCCGGGGACTTCAGCAGGTGGGCAGCCGCTCAGCCACTTTTGCACTCAGATGCAAACGGCGTCAATTCATCAGTCAACTAAAGCGCATATGACTGATCAACAAAGAAGATTCCTTCCGTTCGCTGCTGGTGCTGCTGACATATTTCCAGGGTGTTTTATTCCGTGTGTTTCGTCTGTACTGGCAGGCACCTCGAGCTCCCTCAGGGAGACAGGGGGCTAACAGATGCTTTAAGTAAGCAAATAAAATAAAATATTAGAATAAATTCTATCAGAGGTTAATTTTGTTTGACGGGGGGGGAGGGCTGTCTTTTTTTCCAGACTTGTGTAAAAGGTACCATGTACTCAGGTAAAGCGCCTGGCCCGCCACAAGCAATCCTTAACAAACTAAAGCAAATAAATCGGTGTCTTTAAGGATGGGAGCAGACAATGCTAAATGAATGTGGTTAAAGGTGACGCTGCAAGAATCAAACCCATGAAGCATCTGAGGCCGCCCCTCCAGGAAGCTCACCTGTCACCTGCAAAGTGACCAGCTGCAAGCTCCCTTCCCTCAAAGTGCCCAGCTGCAAGCCCCCTTCCCTTCCAGTCCTCCCATTCAGACTTCGGGGGGGGGGGGGGGCTAAGTGAAGCATGTGAAGACGGGAGGCCTCTTTCCCAACATGCTCGCATAGGAAGCTGGCCTAGGAAGGCTGGGGAGTTGCAACAAGATCCCGCCCAGCCCATCTGGGGACGAGGGAGGGAAGGGTGGTGTGCAATGGCAGCTGAGGGTGCGCCTCCTTGCGTGTCCCTCCCTCCAAAGCAGGCATGCCAGAGACACCCTGGTCTTCCCACTGGCTCAGAGGGGGGGTGATGTTCTTTGCTTACAAAAGGAGGCCCAGTATCAAAATCTCCTTTCTCTCTCTCTCTCTCTCTATATATATATATATAAAATCAGTCCCAATGCTTGGCTTTAGAAAACTTACACAGCCACCCACCCTCTACTGGCATTCTGTCCCCCCCTCCCCCTCCCCTTAAGCAAGCTTTATTAGTTGGTACACAGAGCTATATGTAATAACATATAAATACATTCATCTGTTCAAAAGACTCCCCATAGATTTTCTTCATGAAAAAGAGTGACGCTGTTTCTAAAAGCCGCAAGAAGGTAGGAAACCATCCACCGCCCTCTGGGTGCCCGCGGGAGCCGTGCCCCGTGTGTCAGACGTCAGTGCTGATGCTCCGGCTGCGGGAGAAGGCTTCGCGCATGGCCGTCAGGCGGTTGGGGTTCAGGGCCTGGAGGCCGCTCACACTGACAGGCAGCTCCAGGTCTTCCTGGCTGATGGCCTTGTAGTTGATGCGGTCGCCTCCATTTCGGACTTCCTCTTCCGGCTCTTGCAGGAAGAATGTGGGAGGCTCAAAATGGGAGCAGTTGGGACAGACCGTCCGGCACTGGGAAGGCTTCTTGTAGGGGGAAGAATGATACAAAGACGGGCCGTTGGTCAGTGCCACGTTGCGGTTGCAGTGGAGAGGAGGGATGTGGGAGTCCACAGCAAAGTCTGGCTCGTCTGCCTCTTCTTCTGATTCATCCTTCTTGCAGCAATAATACTGGGGAAAGACCCAAAGAAATTTAGTAGCCAAGGATCCAGGGCCACCCCCAACTCCTCTCTTGTTCCCCACGCATACTTATGCTGTTTGACAATGGCCACAAAGCAGCCTAAAACATCGGCAAAGCAACCACAATCACGAAACCACAACAAACATCCCCCAACACAATTCTGAATCAGAACCCTGCTGAGAGGTCCCAACACCATAACACTCAAAGGCCAAATAAGGGTTTTTGCTGTCTTCCTAAGAGGAGCAGACCTGGTGTCTTTCTTTCAGCAAGGCATTCCTGGGGATGGGGCGGGGCATGCGGAGAGACCCTCAAATGCGGGGCTGAAGGAAGCCGAAAGGAAGTGCAACCCAGGGTGGTTAGAGAATAAAAGAATCCAAGGAGAGCAAACGAAACCGGAAACGAGAAAGTGAAAAAGGAAAGTTGGTAAGTAAGAGAAAAGAAATGAGACATCTGGGGAGAAGATGGGCTTTTACACATGGCTTTTTGGGGGGGGGGGATCCTGGCCCCATACCACTTTGGTTTAGCCCCTGATTCCCTCACTCATGTTGATCCTTTGGTTTTCACTTTGGGGGTTTTTTTTTGTCTCCCCCTCTTTGTTCTCAGTTCTTTTGAGACCACTTTTACCCCAACATTTTCTGGAAGCTGATTTTGAATTGCCTTTTCCCTCCTTGCACATAATATTTCTGTGGTTTTCTTTGTCCCCACCATTCACACCCACGTCCAGCCCATTTTTTTTGAAGATTGGACTCTCTCCTCCTCCCTGAAGATAAATAGTTTCTTTTACTTTTTTTTTAATGGTACCAAAACACTGATATAGCACTAGAACGTTGTAACCCATAGGCTTGGCAGGTACTCCGAATCCCCAGCTTTCATTAAAAAAAAAAGTAAGCCTCTATCCCCCTTCCCTCACAGAGATATAAGGAAAAAGGCATATTTCTGCGAGGGAAGAGACTTAACTTCTGCTTTTAAATGAAAGCTGGGAATTCAGAGAACCTGCTAAACCTCTTCTTACAATGCTCTAGCAGTATATCAGTATTTCTGCACTTAGTGCGTGATTTTATAATCCTCTTGCAAGTCCTCTCTTAGCCATCTTTCCCCCCCTAACCTGAGAAGCCCTCGCCTCTTTAGCCTTTCTGCATAGAAAAGGCATTCCAAAGTCCTTGCTCATTTGGGTTGTCCTTTCGGCACCTTTGCCAGTACTACAATATCCTTTTTGTGACTAGAGAGGGGCACAGCAGTACAAATGCGGCCATGCCTGAGATCCACAAAAGAAGCCACAGATTTACACAAGGAGCCCTGGGATGAGTGGGAAGGGCTTTCAGCACCCTGCATTTTGCTATTCCTCTTCTGAGAAGAGGACCGACAGACCTGCGACCAACAGATGGAGTGGTCAGCATGGTGTCATGAATGAGATCGAATTTTACATCCATTTATTTCATAACTGTGTTTTCAATTTATTAGCCTGGTTATATTCAGGAATTTTGCCCCACCAATAGATCCCATTTGGGATGACAAGATGGCGCCGTCTCAAGGCCACTCTGATGTGTCCTGAAGTCCCCTTGTGACTACACACAGAGCCCACATCACAATCTGTGTAACATTTCCAAGGAAGAAAGAATGAACTGATCTGGGCCACCCACATTGTTTGATCCAAGTACCTGAAGCCTACAGTAGCAGAGCACGGCTATGATGCAAAGTAAGATGACAGTCGCTAATATTCCGCCTGTGATGACCACAGTTCCGGCTGTCATTCGACCTCTTCTCCATTAACACCCTGAAAGACACAACAGGTGGAAACTGCACAGTCAGAGAAGCAACGTGTTAAAACAACTCATACCACATGGGCATAACTCCACAGCCAACCAAAGCAGCTGCCCGGCAGAGGTATTTTTCGGGAGCAACAAGATGTGCTCCAAGAGGTGCCACCCAAGGATCCCCAGCCAGGTTGCTGCAACAAAGCCATGACACCACCACTGGCCACCTGCATCTCTGCTGAAACCCCACCAGGCGGCACAGACCCCCAGCCCTTCTCCCCCAGGGACCCATTTTCTACCGGATGTCAGCGATATTCATTGAAGCCCTTCTGTCCCCCTTGTCTCCCCACTGGGGACTCTACACAGAAGCACAGGACAGATCAGCCTACAGAATCATCCCGTGCTGATCCCACCCCCACCCCCAACAGCAGAATGTTGATGGGAACAGAATCCACAAGGCCTTCATCTGGGATACGAGGGAGGAGAACAGATGACGTAAACTGGGTTGGGTCCCCATGGGGAGGATGGCAAAGTATAAAGGAAGTGGTGGTGCGGGGGGTGAAATCCGGGGTGCTTCTGGAGTTGTATTTCTGGAACCAGTGCACAACAAAGAAGAACAAATAATAGTCTGCCCCAAAGAGCAACTTCGGCATGCCAAAATGCTTGCTCTTCTGCAACATAAAATAATAATATTTGACCAGCTAAAATTTTTTAAATAGTATATGTTTCTGGCAGACAGGAGGTTAGTTTTGATCGGCTTAATTTTGTTTCTGCCTGGCTTTGGTGCCCTGCTCTGCTGTGGTACTTCTGCAGAGAGCCAACCACAAAAAATAAAATCTGTTTTGCTTGGGAAACAGAACGTATCATTTTAATAATATGCTGACAACTCTTAAAGGACTACAGTTTCTCCTTGTGTGAAATCGGTTAGCTGCTCTCAAAAAACCCTCCTTTCTTGTTAGAAGATATCTGAAGCCAGGGGTCATTTCGTAGAAAAAGAGCTAGGGGAACTCATTAGCATAACTCATTAGCATATGCCACACCCCCTGACATCAGGGGCCCGGCGGTGGACCTGCAAGGCCAGCGGGAGTGCGAGGAAGCCCCGCCAAGGCCCTCCCTGGCCCCAGGCAGGCAGGGGTGGGGAGAGGCGGGGAGGAAGCAACTTACCCTCCCTCTTCTCCTGCCTCCTCCTGGCTGAATGAGGGCTGGAAGCAGGGCGGCCAGAAACAGGGGGCGGGGCGCCCCCTGTACCTCACCCGGGGGAACTGAAATGACCTCTGTCTGAAGCAGAACAAAAGGCAAAATGGAACCCCAGACTAACAGCAGAGCAGAAGAGAGAACTCACATCCCTCTTTTACACATCTAGTATTTTATCCACCTGTCTTTCTTGTCTTTAAAACGCTAACAGTGGTATGGGGAGCCCAGATGCTGTGATTTATTGCATCTCTTTGGGCTCTTGGACAGGTGGCTGAAGTCTGAAGCCCTTCCCCTCGCTCATGGGATTATTCAGAGCATCCTGGGACTACAGGAAGGTACTGAAACCAGTGGGGCACATGACTTTCCCAGGAAATTCATCCACCAATGGATTTTGAAGACAAATCACAACTGAACTGAATATTCACAAATATCTCAAATCCACCAAAAGTTTAAAAAAGAAAAGAAAACTGAATTCAAATTTGCATTTTCAATTAGAAGTTGTACTCAAAATCGAAGTGCTTTTGGCATCCCTTGCACCTTCCAGCAGACATCGAGGATGTTAGACGTCAGCTGTTAAATCCCAAAGAGCACCAGATGCAGCTACATGCTGAATACGAGCCCTCACTTTGATATTTAGCATCTCACAGTCAGACATCCAACACAGAAACCAAATGTCATAGAACACGAAACATCTGATAAAACACTGAGCAAACACTTTGTGTATTCAGAGAATATCTGGAGCACATTCAAAATAAAAACTCACAGGTGAGAACTTTTGAGCAGGCCTGCCCCGTCCTCTCGGCCAAAGAGAGTTACGACTCCCAGGCTGCCCACTGAAAAACAGGAGGCTCAGCCCAGCCAACCCTTTACTGCCTCGTTCTCTGACACCCACAGATCACCAAGTTCTCCCCTCCACTTTGCCATTTCAAGAGGTTTTCCCCTCCTCACCAGTGTTTGAAGCCAAGGATAATGTCATGACCTTCTCCTTCCATCTCCAAGGCAACTGGCATTTCTTTTGCATCAGGTTTCCTAGGTCACCAGTCTGGTGCCACAAGAGTCCAAGGGTGGAGCTGTCAACCATCATAATAATAATTAATTTCCTCTGATCATCATAATGCTATCACCAAGGAGAAGAGCAGCAAAAATAGGGAATGTAGGACTTCTGGACAACGACGCAGCAATGCGGACATCCGGTCGGGATGCTCCCAACCGGCCCCAATCCTTTTTTGCTTTTTTGGAGCCCTCTTCAGGTCTTCATGACTTTGGGGACTTCGCCGGACCTCTTGGAGGGAGATCTGGTTGCAGGAGGCTTGACCGGTAGCCCTGCAAACGGCGGTGAGCAGGGTGAGACCGATTTGCCTCAAGTGGGAAGAGAAGAAGGAGCAACATGGTCAGCCACATTTGCACTAGCTGTGATTGCCCTTCTTTTTTTAAAAAAAAATACAGGATTTACAGCATAAAGTACAAGAAGAGAGAGGAAAAGATGAAGTTGCCGGCATCCAGTTATTAACTGTCAGGAAAACCTATTTTAAAGACCCTTTAAGAGTCGCTCCAAGTTCCGGGGGAGGGGGGGGAGGCTACGAAGAGAAGTGGAGCAAAAGGTAAATCGAAATTGCAGAGGGGCATGAAATTATAACTGTCAGAACTTTAATCAATTGTTTATTACGGTAATACTGACCATGGGTAACCTTTTCTCAATTACACCTAATTGGTATAAAGATATGAAATACTATCAAAGACTGGAGCCGAACGAAACCGCACCAGTAACAATTACTGTACACCGCGTATGAGCCCACAACGTTATTAGACTTGTAACATAGCAGTGGAGGAGTATTTATTTTGCCCAGGGAATTTATATGCCTTCTCTCCACAGACCGAACTCAAGGTCGCTCAGAAGTATAAACAGTACCATCAAGCGCCATAAATGAAAAGACAACCGAAAAGGAGCCACTGTCATGAAACAATCCCTGAGCACTGATTAATGAGACGGAACTAACTGAAGGTCTGAGAAAATGGTGCTGGTAGAAGATGTATTAACAGGGGAAAAAGAAGAGGCAACTTTGACAATATGGAAATCAGACCGCTTACTATTGAACAATTTTTTAAAATTTTGATGGACGAAATTCAACAAGCGGTCAAGATGACATGTAAAGGCTTTCTTGAAAACCCCTGGAGTTTAAACGGGAAAGCAGATTATAAAACAGCTTTAAGAAGAGATAAAACCCCTTCGTTTAAAAAGCTGGGGTGGGGGGTGCAGGGAGGAATATTTTGGCCTGAGGGCTAAAAGATTGTAAGGAAGGAACCAGGTGAGCCCCAGGGGAGAAGAGATTCTGGGAATCTCTGGAGGAAGGAGCACAGCATGGGAGGAAAGTCTCTTTTGAATGCATTTACTGCGAAACATTCTGAGCAAGGAAACAAGGGAGCAACAAATCTAAAAAGAAAAATCAGTAGCTACAAAAAAACGACAATGGCACATTTGTTATTATCCTTTATTATAACTATAAAAGTCTCTTTGCCTATTCGCAAATAATTTTATGGGGATGGTTTAGGAGGAAAATAGAGATGATGCAATCTTAAATAGAGTTAAAGGTGGAAAAGTAATAGAAATAACAGGAAAAGGAGGATTCACGTAAAGAAATTAAGATGCCAAACTATGGAAATAGAACTTTTTTAGTATAAAGAAAGAAAGCATTTAAGTATGATGTGGCCAGCAGGACTAGACGCCGAGGTGCATAGAAGACTGTTACCTTCCCACCAAAGCTGTACCTATTTATCGACTTGCAATTTCTTGCTTTCGAACTGCTAGGTTGGCAGGAGCTGGGGCCAGAGACGGGCGCTCACTCCGTCATGCAGCACTCTAGTCTCAGACTAACAAACTATGGAAATAGAACTTTTTGAGTATAAAGAAAGAAGGCATTTAAGTATGATTGTTAAACTTAAAGTGCTGCTGAAAACAAAGGAAAAAAAGAAATACATACTGTACTGTAATAATATTAAGGCAATGAGAAGGGTTTTCTGTGATATTTCCTCTGGCTACTGAATTATTGCTTTTGATTACTGTCAGAATCCACAGCTAACAAGGAAGTACACACATTCAGGAACGGTTATACTTTTATTGCAAAGCTATAGATGCAGTAACACAGGCACTGTTAGGAATGGCCGCAGCCACTAGAGCATAATAGGATATAGGGTATTCATATGCACCCCCCCAAGGCACTGGCCAATTAGGGACCCTCCCGCACGCGGGATAAGTCAGGCAACCGTTAGGTGGCTAAAGCTGAGAACCAGGAGTCTCTCACGGTACATAGGAGCCCTCCAGACAACACGATGTCCTCCTGCACATCTGTAGAGATAAGCGTTACAGCAAAAGCAGAGCAGCAGGGATAGGAATGCAATAACAATGAACAAGACACAGAATGAACTCCCCACCCCCATGGCAGCATAGCTGACAATTACTAATTTTATTTGTATGTTTGTAATTTAGGTATTTAATCTGCTGGTATAAAGCATGACTTACTTTCAGTGCGGAGAAGTTTACTTAATTCGGGTTCCAAGCAGGGAAAATACCCCCTGCTTCTAGCTTCTACCCCATATCTAGACTCGTCCGCCAGAAGAATAGATAAGCTACGTATGATCGGGTTATAATTTAACTATGTAGGAGGGAATGAAGTAAAAAGTATTAAACTACTAGAAGAGAAAGGTTCTTTTAAGAGATAAATAATAGAAAGATGTAAAGAAAGAGAGTAATGTAGGGATAGGAGAAGGTTACTGTAACCTAAGTAGCTATAATTATCTTGGCTTTG